AAGTCCACAACAGCGACATTACCTGTAGTATAGAACACGAAATAATAAAATAATCAAATGTATTTAATTTAAACACCAACATACCTTTACATTTTTTGCGGGGTTTTAAGCCATAATTATACCGTAATTACCGTCTTGAAGGCACATCAAAACACTGAGGCACAAGCACGGTTTTTATATTTTGACTCCTATTTATTTTTCGCATAGATTAATATGGATTTTCAATATTCTCAAGTTTTCGAAAAACAAGTGATGCACGTAACCAGAGATAAACATAGATAAAGACCACAGAACATACCCCCTATATTTTTTGGGATGGGGGGATATTTTGTGGATAAAGACAAGCAGCAGTTGTCTTCTGTCTCCAATGTCAATCATGGAAAAGTGCTGAATTGTCACACCCCCGATATCACATCACTGATAAACTGATATTGACAAAATCTAAATTTTGTCTTGCTTAGAAAGACAGTATTCTAGTAACTAATAAATCTACAATCATATAGATAATTTAAAAAATCAAGATTTGTGTAATAGCACATAATAATTTGTTTATGCCAATAACCAATAAATTATAAGCTTTGCAGCTTTTCAGAAATTCGGAGAGCTTTGGCGTTACCGCCAAGCAGCACTGCGTGAAAGATGATTCTCATTGGTCCGTTATCATTGTCACTCTCGAATGTCACGTTATAGCCGGACGTAATTCGTGTACACACTAAGCGGGTAATTTGAATTTGTAATATGCATTTTAATTGTTTGAATTTCAAAGGGTGGGAACTGTTAGCTCCGGAGAAATTTATTTGAGTAATATAGATATTTAATAAATATTGAGCAATAAAATTATAACGTTGACGCATTTAAAAAGAAAAGTTCATATAAACTATGCGAAACAGGTTACGCCATGTTCTGCCACAGAGTGCATTTCAACCTTTTCCACGTTTCCACGTGCTCTCAAATACCAGTTTTATCCAGAGTGCCCCTGGCCATCCAATCCACAATTTCAGTGGTAAGACTCTCCACTCGAGAACCTGAACGCAGCTGAAAATATTTCTGGAAAAATTCAATCGAGTGGAAAAATGTAAAACAGCAGACAAAATGGTCTCTTGTCGATGATTGTAATCACAGAACAATCCAAGGAATCAAATATACCAGGCTCAACGAAAAAAACCAAAAGCACCTAAACCCAAAACAGTATTAAGTAGGAACATACTTAATCAAACACAAATCGATTCTTTTCAGAACCATATTTTTTCTCCAAATAAATAACTAGGATAAGAAGAAACAATGCAAATAATTTGAGAGCACGTACTATTTTTGAATTTAAGTCTAAACATAAATAAAATGGTATTTTATGTATCTAAGGCGAGAAGTAAGCTGTAATATACTAATTTATTTCTTTCTCAATAAGGAAAAGAACTAAATAACGGTGACTTACTCAAGTTAGAAGTAAAAAATAATTTACTTGTACGTGCCCTTACTTTTCTGCTGCGGGCAGGCAAAATTTATTTTTGACAAATTTTGTTAATTTGTTAATCAAAACACCATATTTTCAGTATTTTATAAGGGTCTCAGGTTTTGGTAGTAAGAAGATTTACTTTTCTGCTGCGGGCACGCAAAATTTATATTCAACCAATTTGGAATATACCGTAGATATACATTCTTGTATATTACCGGAATATTTGTTTTGAACATACTAGGTATAATTCACCTGCACATATACACAATATGTACATACCTGGCATGTTCATCTACACATATACCCAATATGTACATATATGTACATACCTAGGATATACCTTTTATGAACTTTGATGAATATACATGCATGTATATTCCACGAACATTCATGTTAAAAATGTTCAACCATGTATATTCCCAGGATATTCCCGCAATGTTCTGTATATGTTTTGAACATTCTGGGATATTCATAGAATATCAAATGCTATCTGGGTAGAACCACTAAACTAATATGCAAAATGATCTGTAGATAAGATTCCGAATTTCAGCTCACAATTAATATTTTGCACATTTAAAAAGTTTTTAAGCTTTAAAATCTTGTCTAAATATATGAAAATTAATCAATTCTTGTAATAAGATTGGCACATAATAATATAACAAAAATTCTATCGGCATATTTTATAAGAATCAATGTACATATGTACTTACATAAATGCAAGACTGCAAAGTCATAACACTAAAAATTCCAATTCGATAAGTGAGAGGTTTCTGAGTCCTCAAGATGAACATTAATATCATCCGCTTTAATCTATTCGGTTGCTCAAACCAGTTTGCTTCCCAAATTGAGTACGATAAGCGTTGGCTCTAAAAGTGCAAATTATACGCAAACATATGGCAAACTTTGTTGTCTGTTTTACCTACCAAATACATCACATCATTGGCGTGGTAATAGTAGAGAATCAATCGAAAAACCATGCTGACAAAGAAAGTGCTCACGAAAACAAACATGACCCATGTAATTTGGTTCTAGAAAAAAAAATCGTTTACTCATGTTCTTGTAAAATATTTTCATAAAATCTCACCCCTAAAACCTGGGTTAAAATGGCAGCGATCTGGAAAGAACTTTGCAAAAAATCAAATACCATCGATGCGCCCATAGCATCATTAAAATAGGTCACATAACTAAAGGTATATAAAAATGCATATTCAATATTAAAAACTCTTTGTATACCCTCACTCGATAATTTGACGATGTCTGAAAACGAATTCAATAAAAGTTGCTTCCCCAGCCTTTTCATCATCTGTAATATTGTATAATATTTTGTGATTTTCTTTGTAAATTTCAAAATTTTTCAAGCAATGATGCAGCTTTTTAATTTGCCCAATCGGGAATACAATTAGGTTGAACATAAGTATGTCTGTGTAGGTAACAAACGAAGCTCCTACCAAGCTGTCTAAAACTTGCCAAACATAAGCAACCTACAACAAAATATTTTGAATGAAAATAAAAACCCAAAAAAAATTTTTCACTTAAAGCTCTTATTAAAGGCAACTATGAAGTTGTAAGAATTATAAGCTGCTTGTTTTCAATGGTTTGAATTAGTTCCGGTGGGAAAAAAATAAATATGAAATAGAGGAAAGTATGATTATTCTTTCTACCAGAAAAAATCCACTGTCGCATTTTGTGGTTCTTATTTGCATTTAATAACATTATTAATTCACCTTATAGAATTCTTGCTCATCAAAAGGAAACCATGATGACAGCGGTAACGGTTTAATAATTTTGGTCATGTTTCCGACTTTAATCATTTTCGAATCAACCATTGCTGGTCTCAGAATATATTGTAATGTCACAACACATAAGATGTACAAATACCATTTCGATTTTCGTTTACTCTCCTTCACAGCATTTTCTCTGATTTTATCAATCTGAAATTAAGATTAATTTTAGTAACATCTTATTAAGACTCTGCCATGAAAATTCTGCATTTTTAGCCACACAATTTACCTCGCTATCTTGAATAGCAGACACTGAGTTCTCTGTATCAATAATATGCTTGATGAGCGATCTAAATCCCGTACTATTTTTCATTATCAATTGTCTGGTGATCGTAATGCTGTAGATAAAGGTGATGCATATATTTGCAGAAATTGCATCCATCTGAAGCTCATCATCAGTATTCAATAATATGAACAATTTAATGTATGCGGAAATCAAAAAGAAAATGTAATAGCCCAGCATTACTTTCGAATACATTGCATATGCCGATTGGTACCGTTTTTGACCTTCGAACATAAATTGCCAAGGAAAAATGCCCAACAATGAGCAACAGATCATCGCAATTTTCAAATATTCGCATTGGGGATAAATCTGAAAGAGAAAAGGTTTGTACAATACAGGTAGAATAATAAATTGGTTTTTTTGGGACGAAATTTTGTTTGTGGGATTAGAAAAATCAAATTGATCAATTATGCAAAGAACAAAGAAGATGACGATAAAACGTTCATTGCATTGATTCTTGGGGTTTGAGTTCGTCCTCAAGCCGTATCCGTATAACAAAGCACATAATCAAAAACAATATTATTTTTGCTTTTCATAGATTTATTAGCTGCAATATGTTGTCCGCACAACATTATATAAGCTTTTTTCACTGATTGTTTTAAGTGTTAAAGTTAATTGAATGTAGGCTCGAATCAGAGCTATCAACACGGAAGAGTAGTTTAGTCTGCAATAGTTATAGAAAAGTATCTAAGTGTTCAAAATTGTTAAGTTTTCCAGTAATTCTGGTAAAATTTTTAAGAAAAATCGCTCAATCGTTAATCTTGCAAGGTATGTATTTAAATATTAATTTTTTTAAGTATATAATATAAACTATATGTTTATTACATGCAACTTGTTATAACATATACAAGTATAATATTATATTAGAAATATAATTAAACTTACCGCCATGTCTTGCACAGCTCAAAGACAGATTTAATTTAGTGTAGACACTAATTAACGGTGATGTAAATAATTAAATTCAAGGGACTTTCGGGTCTTAAACTATCTATTATTTATTGAAGCTAATGCGGGTTTCTATTGTCGCTATCTATCTCAAGTACGATTTTAGGTTAAATTATCTATTTATATTTCCACAAAATGAAACTCGATCTGTAGCTATTGTAAATATTTTTTTACTTAGGTACTTATTAACATAATATATCTTGTTTAATAAATATTCTGAATTTTCTGTTTCTGTTTTCTTTTCTAATAAGGTGGTTCAACTTTAATCTAGTTCTGGATAAAAAAAATTAGCATGAAATATGCCAGGTGTCAGAGAACATGCAAGAGCAATTTAATCAACATTCAGTTTCTCAATTTATGTTGCATTTTGAGTTGCTCATCTCCTAACTCGTAAAATCCAAATAATATTTAACCAAACTTTCAGAGTAGAATTTCAAAAATAGCTGTTAATGATGGACATCGGAAGAATTCAGCTGACGAGTCTAAAGTTGTGAATGTTGTTAGAAATAGGAAAGTGTAGTTAAAAAGTAAATTTTAAAATCAAATTTGATTTGGAACAATAATTTATTTTCGAGTTATTAAGCTATGGGTAACAACTAGTCGTAACGATCATGTTTGAATTTAAATGAACGATTAACGGTAGGTAAGCTATAAATTCATGTGCGAATTTTTTTCTTTCTTTCTTTCTCTTTTTCTTGAGTAGGTACTCCAAACAGCACAACGACATCTTAAATACGTCTTTCAGATGTCTAATTCAGATATGTGAGACGTCTTAAAGATGTCTGTATAGATCTTGATGACGTCTTTAAGACGTCTGGTGTTACAAATGAAGACGTCTTAAAGAGATGTCTTAAAGACGTAGACGAGACTTCTTGAAAGACGTTTTCAAGGGTGTTAGGAATATTCTATGGGAAATTCCCTATTAGGAATGTAAAATAAAATAACATGTTTTTATTTCATTATTTTTTTGTATTTTGCCTATCAAATACATGCTATTTTGTTTATATATATATTTTGCGATTAGGTAGCTTGGCGGTGCATAACGTCCGTTGCCAGGCATTTACAAGACGTCTTGTAGTAGACATCTTTAAGATGTCTTAAAGACGTCTTCAAGAGACATACGACGTTCAGACATAATAACGGCATAAAGAAGA